TGGCTCTGGAAACCTCCCACTGACACCATACTACTGGTCTATTCTCAGGTGCCAAGGACAGGGCAGGGACTGGCAGGTGGCACTGCAGGTCGATTCTAGGTGCAGGCGGTCATCGCTCGCTGAGCCCTCCCAACACAAATGGCAAGGAGAGGACAATGCACGCCTTCAGGTGCTCCCCACACAGCATCTCGGAGCACACCAAGTTCAGGCAGGGGCCACCGGGCGAGCACCTACACCGTCCAGTCCACCCTGTCCACCGCCGGCGGACATCTGCGAACCCTTCCTCAGCCCTCTTCGCGCTTCTCCAGGGTGAACATGTATAATCATTTCTTCCTCAGCAATCTCTGGGCAGCACAGGGGCCTGGCCGACCAGGAGGCACGACTTACGCCACGTTGATTCACACAGTGCTCATTCTCGGTTCTTTGAAAGGATCCTTTCAGTTCTGGAAACACTTAGCAGCCACAAAACGTCTCTTCACCAGCAGACAGCAACTTAGACCAGCCCCGAATCCCCAGTCTCGTCTACACTCCAACCTCCTCCTCACCATCACACCACACTGCCCGCTCCCAGGGGTTCCCAAAACATACCACGCACTGTGGCCACCTCCCGTTTCCCACCACTCACCTCCACGCTAGCTGTCCCCACGCCCGCTTTGACACCAGCTCTGCTGGAAACCGCCTCCGCCCCCAATCCAAGTGCTTCTAAAGAGCCTAGTTCTGTTTCCATAGCACTTGGTTTGAATCTCAATTATTTTTATTATGGCCTGTTTTCAAGTAGCTGAAGAGCTCCTCCTCCCCCATCTGGGAGAGATGAGGTCAGGGACACTGCCCATTCGCCTTTGTACCCAGCCTAGGGCAGCTCTTGCCCCGCGTATGCTCTGTAAATGCACCCTGGAGTCATGTGGAGATGAAGAAGCTGTGTGGGAAATCACGAAGCAGGGGAAACGTGCAAAAAGCAGGCCCCTTCTCCCGGGCACGTTAACATCTCCTTCTGTCGTTCTCAGGACTTCCCTTTGAAGACTAGAAATCAAAAACACTTCTGGGGCATCGCAGAGCCTCTCTGTCCCCTCGTACCGCGATGAAGTCTAAGCCTCAGTCTGCGTAGGGGACAGGAAGGCCAGGATGTAGGTCACTTAGAGCTGGCTCCTCAGAGCATGGCCCGAAACGCAGAGACTGAGTGCCACCTCCAGGAGGGTACACGGGGACAAAAGTGGACTTCCGAATCACCAATCCCACCTCCCCCTTTGGTAGACTTGGACAAGGTGCTTATTTTCTCTGAGCTTCAGGTGTCCCATCTATAAAATGGGTATGAAACTTGCCTCAAGGAGCTGTGAGGAGTGTCAAGGAACAAGGCCCACACGGAGCTTTTCCTGAAAGTGTGTGTGGTCCCCTGCGGGCATGTTGGCGGGACAGGCCATTGCTCTTTCAGACTCAACCGGAAGTATGAAAGCACAGCTCAGGCTTCCAATACTCTAATCCTTTACTCAAATATTTCATCTCAGTACAAATTTGGTCTTTCAGCATAAATATAAAAGGCTCATTTGGTCTTAACAACATTCCATGGTACAGGACTCAGATTCAGAAGCTTGGGAACGCTTCTGTGACTTATAAATGCCTCCAAGAAGCAGCTTCTGAGGCACATCTGAGACTAGTCCTCGGGCCCACAGCCTCCATCTCATTTTCCATCTCCCTGAGCCTGCCTCATGCGAAACACAAAGTGCTTATAGAAGCTCGGTCCTGTCCAAAGCAGACCACAGTCAAGGTGGCAAATCTGAGGAAGATGCCCCGTCCCAAGGACCTGAGCCCAAAGGGAGCATCCTGGAACTGCGTCGTCACCTCAAGACCTGGCCTCTTGTGCCCTGTGGCTCACTTCACTTCAGCAGCCTCCTCTCCCTTTGTGTTTATTCCCTGTGTCCCAGATCCGGCCCCTCAATTCCTTGTCTTGTCCCCTTTCCTCCCCTTCTTTCTATTCTCCAGCTCAGGGCCTCGAGGTGTCTGCATGTGCTGTGCCCTGTGCCAATATCACATGAGTGGCTCCTCGTCCTTCGGGTCTCAGCTTCGCTGTCACTTCCTGACCACATCCTCTGCTCTTCCCCTTTGCGGCTTTCCGAGCTACCAGCCCACGAGCACAGGCACTGCCTTTGTTCACTGGTCCGCTTCCAGCACCCTGCTCTTAATCATCCGCTGAAGCAGCGGGCCACCAGAACAGTGCCTCTGACCACCACCAGCCCGGGCAGAAGGACCCAACACTCTTGGCTCTCACAGCAAACGCAAAGCCTGGAAATGACAGGTGCACATGCCCTGCTCAAACACCTGGCATTCTGACAGGCTGCAAGGGGGCAAGGGCCCCTTCGGTGGCTGAGGGTCCATGTATTAATCAGCACCTCTGGAAAAGGAACAGTGGCTTCATTTTGGAGCTTCCAAGGAGGGGGACTGGCACACCGCACAGCTGTCCTACTTAGCCAGCCTCCTTCCTAACACTCTAAACTGTGCCACAGGATTCCGAACGCTTCATGACCTGGAATGCACAGTGGCATCAATTATCTTCTCAGGCACCAGCAAATGCAGGGGAAAAAAAAGTGTCAACACCACACTCAGGCCATGACAACTGTTACTACCTGAGAGGAATGATTCACCCCAGACACCCAGGTGCCTTGTTTAACTTGAGAGGACAAAGACAAACTGAATGGAAAAGACCACATGGCGTCAGGGTCTCCAGTTCAAGACCCCAGCTGTCAATTGGTAGTTGTGGGGGTCAAGGTCAAATCTCTTCAGAGTCCATTTCCTCATCCAAAAAAACAGGGATAAGAATACTTTCTCGACGAGCTTCTCAAGGACTAAATGATAGACTAAATGCGTGCAGCACAGCACATGGCACGCAGCATGCACGCTTTCTCGACGAGCTTCTCAAGGACTAAATGATAGAACAGACTAAACGCATGCAGCACAGCACATGGCACGCAGCATGCACACCATCAACTTTAAGGAAAATGTGAAACGCACCTGGGGTGGTACCTGAGTGAGAGCACATGGAGATGCAGACCATCTGGTAGAAGAGTGTGCTCTCAAGAGCCCTGGCTGAGAGCCTGCAGTTTCAGGAAATTCCGAATGAAGCGGTATTTTTCCAGATAATCCCCACTTTATCCCTTTTATTTCCTGTCTACAGTTCTTAATGGCCCTCTTTACTGAACTAGTGCTCTTCAAAGAGACTTTTTATAGCTTTTTGCCTCTGGAGCAAGTTGAAGCTGGCTACTGTCTGGGCTCTTAAGAATAAGCAAAGTGACGAATCTGTTCACCAGGGCAGAGACCGGCAGCATCACGGAGGGAGGAAGCCCTGGACTACTTAGGAACCGGAGTCCTCCCGGCTCTCGGGGCATCTGTTTTGCACATCTGTGCTTCAGTCTCACCATGGCTGAAGAGACGGAGGCCGGATTTCTGGGCCCCCTCCTGTTTTAACATGATCTGATTTTGAGATATTAACATAACCAGATTCCACTTAGTAATTGGTACTTCCGCCAACATTTCATGCATTTGTCATCCGCGTTGCTGACAGATCCCCTGTGCAGGGGACCCCTTGGGAAGGTGGAAAGGCAGGTCAATTTCTTCTATCTACTTCCCCAGCTCTAAGGACTTGCCAGGGGCTGTTTCAGGGAAAAAGCCTTAGCCACACCCACTAAAGAATCCATCAGCCTGAGTCCTGGGCTTCCTAGGACTGGGGCAGAGACCATGGATGTAACTTTATGAAAAAGAGTTTTGTTTTGTTTTTTTAAAGGCAGGTAGCACTTACCGATTCTAAGACTGTGGTGTACATTCAGGCTCACAGAATAAATTATCTGGAACTGACCAGGAATGAAATTTCAGTTAGTTTCTAAATCAGTTTTCTGGTCAATGGAGGGAATGAGTTTGTGGCAAGCTGGAGCTTCCCAGCTGTGCTCTCCCCCGTAACTTCCGATGCTCTTCAAACTCGCCCTGTTGACAGTGTAGTCAGCTGAAAAGCCAGGATGCTGGATACTGACTTCATTTTCCTCTGAAGGGCTTTGCTGAGAGCAGACCCTGCCTCTGGCTAGGTACTGCTTATGCCTTTGAGTTATACTAAGGTTGCCATACAAAATACAGGACACCCAAGTAAATCTGAATAACATCATTTTTTGCTATAAGTATGTTTGTTCCATGCACTATCTGGAGTTTACTTATGCGAAAAAATGATTCGTTGTTTATCTGAAATTCAATTTTAACTGGGCATCACACATTGCTATTTGCTAAATATGGTAACCCTAATTACATCCATTTCGAGCAAAGACTAGTTGGTTCTTAGTCTCAAAAATATAACAACATCCCAAACCCAACCTCTTTCAAAACACTTTCAAAACAAAACAAAACTTGTCTTTTTATTTCCAGGACATGTATTTTAAAAATAGGTCTATGAGAGTTTTAAATTTAAAAAAAGAGAGCGAGCGATGTATCTTCATACAAGTCCCCCTAAATTAAGAGCTCAGCATGCCACTGGCCCACAGTACTGGTGCCAGCTAGTTCTTTGGACATCCCCAACACGAAAGCAACTGGCTTCCAACTCATCAGGTAGCACAGAGAATGCAGGAGAAGTAGATTCAAAAGTGGCTACTTCCGCAAAGAGGCCTGCCAGGGCTGAGGGACAGGGGAGGAGGAAGATGCTAATGGCAAAGGAATGACAGGAAGCAGTGCCAGAGCTCAGCTGCCACAGAACACATAGGTCCCTGTACAAAGAGCAGCACCCACCACCGTGAAAAGTTAATTACGAGATAAAAAGAAAAAAAGTTACTGTTTTAGAGAATACCCAGTAGTCAAGGGACAGACACATCTCCCACTGCCCTGACCCCTACCCAACTTCTCCCAGTGTCTGAACTTGGACTGGTAAGCAGGTAACCCACCCCACAAGCTAACATTCTGGGCAGACCGGGGCTGTGAGGCCTGTGGCAGTGCTCTGTGCTGGGGTGGCTGAAGAGACAAAACACCTACCCAAGTGTTTTAAAATCATGTTTATTACTCTGACCAAAAGTCACTCATATAAATAGCAGGGTTTTACAGTCTGAATGGTATTTTATTTCACATGGTTATACAGTCTGAATGACTAGCTTACAATCCAAGGCAGTTTTTTAAGTTTTGTGGTTCAAAATGGCGGTTAGTGTTGTTGCAGAGCAAAAAGACCTCACTGACAAAGAAATTACACCAATGTAACAAAATTAAGAATGTGCCGGTGCCACAGTTTACAAAGTAGCTCTAAGCAAGTCATTCCCCCACCTCTCACAGCAAAGGGGATCACGGGCTAAAAATGCCTTAGAAAAATCAAATGGCACCTGTAACACATTCTTTTTTAAAGGTCAAGCTTGTAAATTATTAATCCATGGTGCTCAGAAATGAGAGAATTAAATATAAGGCTAAAATGTGGTTAATCTTCTCACTTCCTCTTCTTTGTGGAATATAGTTTTTCTTCAAGTGGGACTGGGACGATCCCTTCACACTCCTTTACTTCCTGGGTCAGAGGGTGTTTTACAATATTCGGTCTAATCACGTCAGTGTCTCGAGATAAGTGATCCAGTATGCTTTCAACAGTTGTTGTTGGTGCATAAAAATCCACTAAGAAATACCTGCAATAAAATAAAAATTTGTGAATTCCTGCATTCTGAATACAGCACTTCCACTATTTTGGTCAATGCTTTCATTCTACTCCTTCCCAGATAAAGACATCAGCGACACACAAATACACACCGCCAGCTGACCAGCTAAGCAAAAGTGTAGTGCTAGGCCCAGCTTCCTTTTCTTGTATCTTTTCCCATTACGTTGTTGTGAAAATCTGAACCCGAACAAACTTCGTGGTAGCAAAAAATCTGAACCCGAACAAACTCTGTGGTAGCAAAAAAGCCTTGCAACATTACAAACAGTGGGCAATACTAGAAAGTATGGTTAGATTATGGGTGCGAGAACAGAATTTGCTGTTCGAGAAGGCTGAATTTTTCAACAAACTATTAGTTGATGTTTTCTGCGAAAACATCTATTTGGCGGTCTTCGGATTTTCCAAAGGATTTTCCAAGTAACTTCATGTACCTGAGATACAGTAAGTACCATCAGATATACTTCCAAAACAAGGAAAAAAGATTTAAAAAGGCCTGAGACTTGTCTAGGACTATCCCGCATGCTCAAAAACTGACAAGGAACAAAAAGAAAATTACTTCCCGAAACTAGGGAAGGAAACAAATATACAGATCCCGGAAGCCCAGAGAATTCTAAATAAGAGGAACCCATAGAGACCACGTCAAGATACATTATAATTAAAATATCAAAACTTAAAGACAAGGAGAGAATAGTAGAAGCAGCAAGAGAAAAACAACTTATTACATACAAAGGAACCTCCATAAAACTATAAGCAGATTTTTCAGCAGAAAATTGCCGGCCAGAAAGGAGCGGCATGATATAGGCAAAGTGCTGAAAGAAAAAACTTCTAACCAAGGATACTCTGCCTGGCAAAGTTATTCAGAATTGAAGGAGAAATAAAGTTCTCCACATAAGCTAAAGATAAAGGAGTTCACCACCACTAAACAAGCCGTACAAAAAATGTTAAAGGGACTTACGGGCACTAATTAGTAACAAGAAAACATATTACAGTATAAATCTCACTAGCAAGGTAAATATGTGGTAAAGGTAGTAGATCAATCACTTATAAAGTAGTACGAAGGTTAAAAGACAAAAGAAGTAAAAATACCTATGATTACAATAATTAGTTGAAGGATACACAAGATAAAAAGACGTAAAATGTGACTTCAAAATCATAAAATGGAGAGAGAGAGGGTAGTAAAATGTTGAGCTTTAGAATGTGATCAAACTTAACTTGTTATCAACTTAAAATAGACCATTACAGATATATGTTGTTATATGCAAGTCTCATGGTAACCAAAAAGCACAAACCTATACTAAATACAAAAAAAGAGAAAGAGAAAGGAATACAAGAATACCACAAACAAGAGTCATCAAACCACAAAACAATAGAGAGCAAGAGAAGAAAATACAGAGAGAAACTAAAAAACAGCTGATAAACAATTAACAAAAAGGCAATAAGTACATACCTATCAATAATTACTTTAAATGTAAAGGGACTAAATTCTCCAATCAAAAGATCTCAAGTGACTGAGGAAAAACAAGACCCGTTTATATGCTGCCTACAAGAGACTCACTTTAGATGTAAGGACACACACAGGCTGAAGGCGAAGGGATGGAAAAGATATTCCATGCGAATGGAAAAAGAAAGCTGGGGTAAGCTACACCTACATCAGACGAAACTGACTTTAAAACAAAGACTGTAATAAGAGACAAAGAAAGGCATCACATAACATAAAAGGGTCAATCCAACAAGAGGATATAACATTTGTAAATATTTATGCACCCAACACAGGAGCACCTGCGCACGCGCGTGCGTGTGTGTGTGTGTGTGTGTGTATTTACAGACCTAAAGGGAGAAAAAACAATACAATAATAGTAAGGGATTTTAATATCCCACTTACATCAATGTACAGATCATCCAGACAAAAAAAAATATCAATAAGGAAACATCTGCCTTAGACGACAAAATATATCAGATGGACATTCCATCCAAACAACACGTTATACCAGAACATTCCTTCCAAAAGCAACAGAATACATCTTCTTTTAGCGCATGTGGAACATCTTCTAGGCTATGTTAAGCCAGAAAACAAGTCTTAATAAGTTTAGGAAGATTAAAATCATGTCAAGCATCTTTTCCAACTACAATGGTATGAAACAGAAATTACACAAAGAAATCTGGAAAATTCACGAAGATGTGGAGATTAAACAACATGCTACTGAACAACCAATGGGTCAAAGAAGAAATCAAAAGAGAAATCAAAAAAACACTTTGAGACGAATGAAAACGGAAATACAGGTAGAGCATGCATATGAAAACTTTCATAAGCCAAAATGGCATAAAAAGGCAATTATCATTAACTTACATGGAAAAGTTTTTGAGTGATCCCAGACCCAAATCCAATGCCTATACAATGTCTTTATTTCATTTGCCACAATCAAAACACTAAGTTACATCCAGTTTAATGCTAAGCTTTAACACTCTTAACAAGCTCTTTTAGGCCTTCCTGATATTTGAGGGCACATCTTGCTAATAGATGCACAAAATAAATCAAGACAAAGCACAGATGCTCAGAGACACAGTTCAAAGCTATAGTGGCTTGATGCTCAGATGATGAGTGAAGCTCCCGGGGAAAGAGCTTGGCAGTGCCCCTCACTGCTTCGGGGTGTGCACTGCTTCGGTAATAACTCGCTGCAAAACAAATGCTAAATTCTATTTTTGCTTTTAGCCTTTTTCTGTAAAAGCAAAAATCCTCTTCAGATTTATTTCAGTTAGCAAAAACTGGTACTAACAGAAGTTTTCTGTAAAAGCAAAGTGAAGTAACACAAACTTTCAAAAAGTGGGGGATACCTGTATAACGTACCAAATTTTCTGGGATGCAGCAAAAGCAGTTCTAAGAGGGGAGTTCATAGCGAAAAATGCCCACCTCAATAAAACATTAAAGTCTCAAACAACCTAACTTTATATCTCAAGGAATTACAAGAGAACAAATGAAATCTAAAGTTAGTAGAAGGGAGGAAATCATAAAGATTAGAGCAGAAATAAATTAAATAGATTAAAAAGACAATAGAAAAGATTAATGGAACTAAAAGCTTGTTCACTGAAAAGATAAACAAAGTTGATGAGCCTTTAACTAGACTCACCAAGAAATAATGAGGACTCAAGAAGAGAGGCTCGAATGAAAGAGGGGCTATTACAACCGACACCACAGAAATACAAAGGACCAGGAGACTACTGTAAACGATGATAAGCCAGCGGACTGGACAGCCCAGAAGAACCAAATTCCTAGAAACATATGACCTACCAAGACTGAACCATGATGAAACAGAAAAGGTGAACAGATCAATTACAAGTAAGGAGATTGAACCGGTAATCAAAAACCTCCCAACAAACAAAAGTCCAGAACCAGATGGTTTCACTGGTGAATTTTATCCAACAGTCAAAGAATGAACACCAATCCTTCTCGAATTCTTCCAAAAAGTCAAAGGGAACTCTTCCAAACTTATTTTATGAGGCCAGCATTACCCTGATACCAAAACTAGACGAGGACGCCTCATGAAAAAAATTACAGGCCAATATCCTTGATGAGCATAGATACAAAATCCTCAACAAAATGTTAGCAAATTGGATTCGACAATACATTAAAAGGAACATATGCTATGATCAACTGTGATTTATTTCAGGGATGCAAAGATGGTTCACTATCAGCAAATCAGTGAATGTGATACAGAGCATTAGCAATGAAAGATAAAAATCTTATGATCATCTCAATAAATACAGAAAAAGCATTTGACAAAATTCAACATACATTTATGATAAAAAAAAAGTCTCAACAAAGGTAATATAAAGGAAATGTACCTCAACATAATAAAGGTCATATATGACAAGTCCGCAGCTAACATCATAGTCAACAATGAAAAGCTGAAAGAAAGCATTTCCTCTAGATTAGGAAAGACGAGGATGCCCACTGTTCTCACTTTTATTCCATATAGTACAGCAAGTCCCAGCCAAAACAATAAGGCAAGAACAACAAATAAAAGGCATCCAATCAGAAAGAAAGAAGAAAAACTGTCGCTATTTTCAGATGACATATTAGATATAAAAAACCCTAAAGACTCCATCAAAAAAACCTGTTGGAATAAAGAAATTCAATGACGTTACAGGATACAAAATCAATGCACAAAAATCTGTTGCATTTCTATACACCAATAATGAACTATCAGAAAGAGAAATAAAGATTACAATTCCATTTACTATTGAATCAAACAAAATATCTAAAAATAAATTTAATCAAGGAAGTAAAAGACCTGTATATTGAAAACAACAAGACATTAATGAAAGAAACTGAAGATGCAAATAAATGGATAGATATTCCTTGCTCATGGATTGGAAGAATCAATATTGTTAAAACCTCTGTATTACCCCAAACAATCTACAGATTCAATACAATATCTATCAAAATTGCAATGGCATTTTTTACAGAAATAAAACAAATAATCTTAAAATTTGTACAGAACTCCAAAAAACAAAAAACAAACAATAAAAACAAATAGCCAAAGCAATCTAGAGAAAGAACAAAGCTGAAAGGACCACACTCCCTGATTTCAAAGTACATTACAAAGCTATATCAATTAAAACAGTATGGTACTGGCATAAAAACAGACATACAGATCAATGGAACAGAATAGAGCCCAGAAATAAAATCATACAAATATGATCAACTAATTTATGACGAAGGAGCTGAGAACATACAATAGAGAAAGGACAGTCTCTTCAATAAATGATGCTGGGAAAACGAGGCGGCCAAATGCAAAAGAATAAAACTCGACCACTATCTTACACCATACATAAAAAATCAACTCAAAATAAATCTGAATTTAAGACATGAAACCATAAAACTCCTAGAAGAAAATGCAGGCAGTATGCACCTTGACGTAGGTCTTAGAGATGATTTTTATAATCTGACACCAAAAGCAACAAAAGCAAAAATAA